CTGGTACGTCGGTTTAATGAGATCCGTCAACTCTTCGTTTCAAAAATTCAACAACTCCAGTTCATTTCCCGGCAGTACTCGGAGGGACAACGTAGGATATGTTCCTTCAACTTGACCATTAAATTAAATTATATTATATTTTATTTTATTCAGATTACATCCTGAGATTTGACTTGGCTCGTGCAAGGGCAAAAATAAATCGTTGCAATCAGCAATCATCCATCATTTGGAAATCCGAATAGGGGGGATTTGCCAAATGAAACATTACCCACCCTAAAGGGTATGACCAACAAACCCCCCCCCCTCTCCCCCCCCCTTGGGCACGCCACTGCATGTCATAAATCACTAGCGATGAATCGTAAATGAGGTCCATGTGATAGAGGATGCAGCTTATACAAATAATTTAAACTCGATGATTGGAGTTAGGTCAAGGATTACTAGCCATCGATTTCAAGATTATGATTTAAATCTGGTAATTGATTCTTATTGCATGATTTAATGCTCTTTGAAACTATTTACGATATCTGCGTTCGATCTGCTCATCTCCGCTTGTTCCGTGCAAATGTCCTTTCATTTGTCCTTTATTATGGGATTTTCCGAAAAGGGCATTCGCATGCGATCGTGACATATCTAATGGGCCCGAAAATATTTCCGGCCCGTTTCCCTTCTTCGTAGTTCTCGACTCCTCGGGAAGAAAACGACGCCGATTTTTGTTTTTCTGCCCACCCCCCTCTAGCCCCCCGTTCACGTCGTCTGACCCGATGAAGACGTACAACATCATCCTCCGCGGGATCGACGCCGTGACGTTCCCGCGCATCGTGTCCCGGACGGCGCAGGGCCTCATCAGGCGGCTGTGCCGGGAGATCCCCGCGGAGCGGCTCGGCTACGGGCGCAACGGGCTCGCCGACGTCAAGAAGCACAAGTGCGTTTCTTCTGGGTCGATTTTGCGGGCTGATTCTCGAGCGGAAAGACTTGAAACGAAAATGAAGGGATTTTGTCTTGTGATGCCTGCGGTTGGGTCTTCGTAATTTACTTATTGGTAATAATTACCTTATTGCTAGTAATTACCTTATTGCTGGTAATTACCTTATTGCAAGTAATTATCTTATTGCAAGTAATTACCTTATTGCAAGTAATTACCTTATTGCAAGTAATTACCTTATTGCAAGTAATTACCTTATTGCAAGTAATTACCTTATTGCAAGTAATTACCTTATTGCTTGTAATTTATTGAATTATTTACTTTGAGGTTTACTTATTGGAATCATGGAATCATTCCGTTTGCATTTTCAATCCTTTTATGCTATGAGGCACTCGATTTAGACGACGGGCTGAACATGATTTAATATTTGTGAGATTCCATTCGGTGGTATTGCACGAGAAATTGCATTTTGCAGGTGGTTCCAGGGTTTCGACTGGGACGGCCTGAAGCACAGGCTCCTTACACCACCCATTCAGCCACAGGTATGGGGGAAAATATTCAGTATTTTTGTTTCAAAGTATTTTTTTTTAGCACCAAAATTTTTAGCCAGCAAACATTTTTTTGAGCGACTAAATTGTTTTGTTTCAGGTGAGAAGTGCGACAGACATCAGCAACTTCGACAATTACCCCCGGGACATGGACATTCCCCCGGACGATCTGAGTGGATGGGACACCGACTTCTGAACGGATATAAATATATATATATAAATATATATAAATATACACGATACTCCCGGTAAAATGAAGCTCCCCGAAATTTTGATGCACCGCCAATCCGACAAACTCTGTGAAAGTGCCTCGAGTTATACCCGACGATGCCAAAATTTTTTTTTTCGCGAATCCCCGTGCGTCTGACTTGTCGAACCCCGCCAGGTTTTCCTTACTTTTTAATAGATATTTAATATTTTATAGATTTTTCGCTCATCGGTCAACCTGCATCTCTAGTCAAGATCGCATGACGGAATGGCGAAAAAAAATTATTTTTTTTTTTTCAGCTTTCGAGAAACCCGGTGCATCAAACCAAATACGTTGTGAATGTGATATGCCACTTTCCCCGATTTTTATTTGGAATCCGATATTTTCTTCCCCCCCCCCCCCGCCCGAATTTATTTGTCCGCGGAGATGAGAGAAATTGCCTTAATAAAGCTTCTCTGATTCGTTCCTGAGTCCTCGAAGGGAATGAAGTTCCTACGATGTTGCTCGCAGTTTCGTCCTTTGATTTTTCCTCGGGTCAAAAATGAACATTTTTGGCATTTTCGCATTTTTCACGTTTTGAGCCGTGAAAAAATTCGTTGGAATATCGGGACCCCACCTGAAATTCATGCCAATTTTATTTTACAATGGTCTAATATGGTCCCATTTCCAGAAAATGACGTTTAGTCTTTTCCCAGACTTTCAACCTATATAGGTGACATGCGCCAGATTCGTTTAACTTTAAACTTATTCGTTTTCATAAAGTATGGGAATAAGCTAATCTCTGTTAAACTGATTCCCATAGGGAATCCTTGTGAGATCAGATTAGTTTATCTTAAACGGATTCGGTGCATGTCAACCTATTTCTTCGATCATAATGCAGCCATTTTCGCGAAATGTACGCTACGCACACATGAGAATGTTTCCGACTCGTGCTAAGAAAAAAGTCACCCGAAAAGACCGAAACATAACTATCAGCAATTATTGAAATAAGAACTTTTCATCCTTTCCTAACCTTTATCTCTTTTTTTTTTTAAGGCTTCAGTCTCCTCGCGGCAGGAATTTAATTCCTTCCTTTTAAACCCCAAGGCGTTACAAACAATTTTAAATTTTCTTTTTTTTTCTGCGACAATGGGCGACATGCACCAGATCCGTTTAACTTTAAACTGGTTCGTTTTCATAATGGGCGTCTATGGGAATACGTTTATCTCGGTTAAACTGATTCCCATAGGGAAACGTGGTGAGATCAGATTAGTTTAGCTTAAACGGATTCGGTGCATGTCACCCAATAAAACAAAAGCAACAAGAAAGTCAGTCGCCGTACATATTTAAAACAGTTCACCGTTTAAATAAAAATTTTCGCGACGGTTTGTAATTTTCATTACTTTTCTTTTTACATTGTTCACGTATAACATGAATTTCTCTAAAAATAAAGATATTCCCTCCAAACAACCTCCAATTAGTAGCAAACTCGTCTTCAGAGCTCAGCCAAACCCAACAAATAAACAAATTATATATTTATCTTAATTTTAAAAATGTAAACATTTGTGATAAAAAATATTTACCATAAGGCAGAGCCCGGCACGAAACGTCTGTATCGGAGCCTGCACCAACCTCATCACATGACGATTGCATCATTTAGAAGCTTAGAAAGTTAGAAGCTTACCCCAGGGCCACAAGGGCTCGTTCACGTGACACGTTAGATATACGTACATGCATGTATCCGGCCGCAGCATGAGTAAAACCTCCACTGTCGAATTCGAGCCAGTCGAGAAGATGACGTTGGACGAGGAGGACGTCCATCTGCGAGCGAGGTTAAACGTGAATTGCGAAAAGATCGTTTTGCCTCATTTGTGGGAATGTCAGTGGCGAGCTTCGAGACCGTCTTGGAGCTTGTATGGACGAAAGAGACACCAGCTGTCGCAAAAACATTATTTTCGAATTCAAAGATTTATTGCATTTCTTATCGACTTTTCTCCAAAGTAAATTCGTCTTCAACTCTGAAGTGTTTCATCAGACTCTTTCGATTAGGTAATACATATTATTATATATTTATCATCATTAATTGTAAAAATTTTCCGACCGTTTCAACTTGATTTTATAGTTTTCCGGACTTTTTCGTCTTGACGTTGGACAGATCTTTCCTCGGCAAACTTGCTCAACTGATGAGGCAGCGTTGAAGCAAATTCGAAAAGAGTGCAAGCGCTATCCCGAGAAGCTTCTATGATACATGTATCATATATGATACATTTATGATACGTCACGAAAATGTTTCACCAGTGTGCGGCCGGACAAACGTTAGCACGATAAAGGTTTAAATGTCAGACTTGTCGCGAAATATCCTTAATAACTTCGAATAAATTGGTTCTGGCAGTCTCTACATCCCCAGCAAATTTTATGAGACGCTAAGCAATCATTAGATGCCCTCGAAAGTTGCTGGTCTTCTCTGTCGAGCTCTGCAGACTCAGACTGACGTAAACCAACGGAAATTCTTAATTTGAGAGAACTCATTGATTTCATTGATTCTTCTATTTATCAAGAGGCCCAAAGAATGAATTTAAATGGAAGAGAAGTTCGACGCGGTCTTGATGACATGCGTCTGACTAGTTTTCACTAATTGCTTATGGTATTGCCTCGGTCCGACAAATTCGGATGAGATTTGAGAATCGGTTGGAAATATACACATACAGTACATGCAAAGCGAAAGTTTCGCGATAAGTAATCCAGTGTGAGCAGAGATATTTTTGCTAAAAGTAGTTGGTCTTTTTGTCATAACTTGTGCATCAGGTTTTTAATTAACCAATAAACCAGAGGGGCTTGCTAGAATTGTTCCACATCAAACCCTGCATCAGTTATACCTGTAGATTGAATTGGATCTCTGATTTTAACTGGCAATATTTTTAACACAGTCAACAAATATTTCGACGGTGTATATTCATAAACCCGATGTATATTAATTTGGTTTAGGTAAAACACAATGTAAATTCTGCTTAGTCCTGAAAATTGGAGCAAATTCGGGGGGGAAAAAACCTGAAAAACTCATGAATTTGCAGATTTCTTCGTATCGACCGTTCGACCTAGCTCCCGTCAGCCTTTGAAAAAAAAAATTTGGAATCTCGAAGATGGAAGACCCAGACGAGTCAACAACTTGAGAGATCCATCATCGAAAATGAAGGCGATGAATCATACCATGAGGTGATTTGGCTGTCCTGCCTTGAAAGGACCACTCTCTGGCCGCAGAAAAGAGCGGCAAGAACCTCATTTGTCATCCGCGTGTCCTCTTTTAAGAGAAACGGGTTTGAGACAAAAGCAAGGTGGGGGCTCCGCGGGCTTTGACAGGTTGGAAGAATGGCAAGAAAATGGCAAAAAAGGTGAATAGAGGACTCGTGCTCGTATTCTTTGGGGCTGTGAAAAACGCCAGGCTGGGACTTCGTGGTGAAGGGTAAACTGAACCCGAGAACAGGGATTATTAATGACTCTTTCCCTTGAAATAAACACACGGGAGTCCTGTGACAGGCACATGACGTCAATCATACGTCTGTCCTAGACGGCGTCCAGATTTAGGACGGGGTTCCTCCTTAAGTCGCTGAGTGCAGATTCCAAGAAACATGTCGGTGCACTCACCTCCCACTCGTATTACTGAATATACATACGAAGATTGTGAACTCCTTTTTGCATATCAAGCATCTGGGTTGAGTTTGGACACGATGCAGGTCGATATGGGATGAGACGGAAGGGTGGGATCACTGGTCGTGCAGATGCAACGACAGTCGCACGTCGGAAAAGCCTGAGTAGAATGTTCCTTGGGATCGTGCGGTTATCGTTTTCAACAGCGTTATATGCGGTCCCGCGGGAAATGGAAGTTTATGCTGTGTGCACCTCTATCATGACGTCATGACTCGTGATGCCGAAGCTGTATGAACATGGCGGAAAGCATGGGCTGTGTATCTCCTCGTGGTCCTTGCCTACGTCTCGTGAATTCATGAATGGAATCCCCAGACACACCCGCCCTCTCCAGAATCAAGTTGGAGGTCATCTCGGTAAAGGAACAGGTTCGTTTCCTGTAAGTGTTGTAGCATTAGTTCGGTGAAACTGATGCGTTAAGAGGTTTGCTTCTTGGGCAAAGTAACTTCAGCGTTTTCAAGCCCTTTCAGCGCCATGGAAAATTCTTGCTTCCACTCAGTCACTGGGACATGTCTCAGGTGTTAGGCCTGAGCTAATTGTTTTTCTTCTGTTGATTACATTGTATTGATGCTAAATCCCGACCCAAACTTGACTCCTACATTTTTCGGACCTTGGAGGTTACTTCCGTGGGAAATGACGTGAAGTTGAAGGTATATTTGTGTTGCAGGCAATGTCTGCATTGCTATTGCACTTGTCAACAACTAGATTCTGATGCCCTTTCGAATTTTAGATTCAGATTATGCAAAATAATTATAATAAATATTTTCAAAGTGACCCTCATGATTCTCCTTAGCCAAGTTGCCCCCCATATAGGTCTAAAGTGAAATCTTATCACACTTGTCACTTATCTGATCTAATTCATAGGCCGAGGTTAACACTTGGCCTGCATTTATGGATAGATGGAATTAGACTAGGCATTAGTCATGGGGCAACATTAGAACGTGTATGCTGGTTGTAGATCTAGGCCTACTCCTACAAATTCAATGGTCCAGAAACCATAGAAAATTGTTGACTACCTGAACGGTAGTCAGCATTTTTCATGGTTCATATTTAATTGATTTTTGTACTGTCCATTTCAGAAATCCTGAAACATGGCGATGGATATCTCTTGAAACCGCTGCAGGCCTCTCCAAAAAAAGAGCGAGAAGAGAATTTCTACAGAAGGGTCTTCTCGCAATCTGATGATCCTGACTTCCTCACATTAAGAAAATTTATTCCGAACTTCTATGGTGTGCATGTGGAACATGTCAATGGCCAAGGTCAGGACCAAATTCTCCAATATACCTTTGTGTAGGCAGGGATTGTGAGTCTGGCAAGTGAAGCCACTCTATATCCCCCTAGCTCTGCAAATTATTAGTGCATATGTCAAAATGGGGTCATTCATGGGAAATTCCCATACATTTCCCCATAGTGAATGGTTATGGCTCAGATGGTGCATTGAACTCAGGGCACAGCAACCTGGGCAATGGTGGATGCAGAAATTTTTCATAAAGGGGGTGTTTCCCTAGTTTCTACCTACCTCCTCCCCCATCACCTTCTACCACTCCCCACCCTATCACCTTTTTCATTTCTCATCTGGGGTAAAAACTTGAATATCTATTCACTGGTCTAAATAAAAATTAATGTAGAAGCTATAAAAAAATTTTAAAAAGTAGAATGACCATAGGGGGAGCAGTTGTCCCCCCTGGGTCCACCACTGAACTTGGGTTCATATGCTGCTGCCACCCATGTTTTCTGCTTTATTTTATTCTTTGGGTTCAAGGCCAAAGTATGAGAGGCAACCTATTTGTTGGGTCACTTGGGTTTGAAAGTAAACTTGGCCATGTTTTATACTCTTGTCTTGATGGCAGGCTAGGATAACCCTTGGGAACCTGCAAATAAGGTTAGTGGGAATGGAGGCGCTCGGATGGGTGACCTGCTTAGTCTGCTTGCATGTTCTTCCCGGGGAATTCCAATTTGTTGCTGCAGGTTTGCTGGAAAATTCTTTTTTCTTACACTGCTTGAGGGAATAAAACATTGCCAAAGAAGGCAACTCACTTGGCTGGTGAAGGTATGAAAAATGGATATATGATACAGTGCAAAAGATACAGTAAGGCCAGGCATTAAGGGGAGTGGTAATTGACAGCTAGACAGGTGTGTAGAATTGCTCCATTTGATAGAGCTATAGAAACTGCCTTCTAGTAGGGCCTAGATACAAAGTATATACTATTTGATTTTCCAATTATTTTTGCAGAACAACGATATCTGCAACTAGAAGACTTGACTGAGGGCTTTCATCAGCCATGCATAATGGATGTGAAAGTTGGAGCGCGCACTTGGGGACCTGATGCCTCTCAGTGGAAACAGAGCATAGAGGAGGTTTGTGAAGTAGTGACATTCTCTTGGGTGACATTACCTTGAAATAGTTAAAATCAACTGGCAGAGTGAAGTGCAAGTAGTGTACATGGCAAGACTTTCTCAATTCAAGGTAAGAATGAGAAAGTAACAAATTTTGAATACCAATTCTGGCAATTAGTTGCTGGTACTTGAAATGTATTCATTGCCATTCCAAGCAAGAATTTTGTATTGATGAACTTGCTTTAGCAACAGTAGTGCTATACTACCCTGGCATATTTTTTTTTGCCACATTCTTCTGAACATCTGGGAGTTTGAAAGAACATTAATGTTAGAAGATGGGAAGACACAATAGGCTCTACAGTGTTTTTCACTTGAGTTAGACATTTTTTCACTTGACTTCGACAACGGTGCATGGTGAGGGTGATATAGCAGATCGACGCAGAAACTAGGAGTTCCATTCTTAAGTGCAGATGTCGTGATGACATTG